AGGAGAACTTCCACAAGCAGTATAAATGACAATCTATTTTCTTTTTCCATAAGGAAGAGTTTACTCAAGCAAAAACGCAACAGTATTGGTTATATATAGTGAAAACTTTCGGCAGTTTTTATCTTTTCAATAAGAAGAATTGATGCATTGTACAAAAATGATAAAATGGTTCCGATCAATTAGTACAAAAATGATAAATTAATATATACGATAATTACATATTTTTATCTACGTTGCAATCTTTCAAGTGATTTACACTTAAAAATTATCAATAACTAAAAATTTTTTAAATAATATATTACACATTTCAACATAACAGCGATATAAATTTAGAAAGATTGAATTTATTTAGAAAGATTGAATATACTCGTATTTATACGTAAATAACAGGAAGCAGTAATACTATTACATTTACAATCTGCAATCTTACGCTAACATGAATTAATTTATACGTCATAGAAGTTGATTTTAGCTTCAGGATTTAATCCGCATTAATACTTATATAATATTAAGGAAGAACTTACACGTGTGTGTATACATACCATGCTAAATAAAGCATGGTTTAAAAATAATGTAATATATGTGTACAAATGTTATCATCTATCTCAAAATATTCACGTGAAATCAGTCTTTTATATTTATATAGTTATATGCGTTCATTTTGTATTAGCATATATTTAAATGGTAGATGGGATATATACACATTTTTTGCAATAAATTAACAAAACGTGAAGTGGCTTTAATTTATATTAATAGATGTCTATTTATAAAAATTTTAATCGATTTATCGAACTCTTAAAAAAATGTAAAAAACGCGATGGATACTTAGCAAATTCAAACATTGTATACTTAATAGAAGCGAAGAAATATAAGTCATCTTTTTAAAAAACTTGATCTAAATTTTCTTAAAATTGATATTTAACATTTTAAATTTGGAAATTTAATCACATCATTAATTTTCGTTTAATCTTCTTTTATTGGACGAGGAAATTTTATGGCTTGGTAGGCTTCATCGAGTTTCCGTCGGGATAACGTTTTTTAAAGGCCTTAATAAGTTGCGGATCAATTAGATGAACACCATCCACCTGGTTGCCCAACGTAATCCAGTTGGGCTGTACATTATGCGGCCGACCAAACAATTCAATTTTTCTGGTACCGGGACTCATTCGCTCTATAATGCCATAGATCTCGTCAGGTTTGTGGCTAGTAGCTCGAACCTCAGCGACAATCACATCACTATCCAATCCTCGATTAATACGAGGATTACCCTTCATGCCGACCAGACAATGTTCCTTGCCATGATTTAGCCAATGACCTGTCCTACCAGTCCGTATTATCCTTTGCAATTGATTGGTCTTCACCCAGATGATTTCGTCAACCCTCTCATAACCCCATAGTTGCAGACATTCTCTTCCCAGCTCCATAGCTCTGCCAGTCACCCAAAGAAACAAGAGTCCTTCATCCTGAAGTGCTGGAATTCCCAATTGTCTCATCTCATCGTCTGACATAGTGCCATAAGGTAACTCCATATGAATGTCCCATGGTGGATCAGCCATGATCACAGCAAACTTGCCAAGAACAGTCATATCGAGGTAACGCAAATCACACTGGATCCACTGTGGTGGATACAGAGTCAATTCGCTACCTACGTTGCTACTGCTATTGCTACCATTTTTGCTATCTAGATTCAACGTCTTGTTAGATGTGGTATTGCTCGGACTATCGGAGTCATTGATTTCTTTTAGTTGTGCCGTAGGACCATCTACCTCATAATGAACATATCTGTACAAAATAAAAAAATTGACATCTTTAAATCTTTTTTAGTTTAAGGTACAATTTCGCTGCATGAAACTGCATCTTTAAAAGTAGAAAAAGTCAAAGTTGAATATATATGATTTATCTAGAATATATATCTTTTGAATTAACGAGTTACAATTAACTATATCAAGAAACGAATTTAACTATACATTGATAAATAATAGTATTTTTCACATCCTTACTTGCACGTGTCCATGTGGAAGCAAGTATTGAGAAAACTACAGTCTCCTAAAGATTCATCTGTGTGACTCTGTATGATTTTTTTAAAATGCAGCTTTTTACATTTTTCCGTGAATCCCGGACCACCATTCAATTTTATACAGTCTACTTTTGTACCATGTGGACAGAATTCCATGACTTGAGCTCCTCCCTGAGAGCGAAATCGTTCTGCCAGTGATTTTTCTTTGGAAGTCTGCTTTGACAGCAGATCCAGGATCTGTTCACCGACCTTCTTGCTCTCCTTTTCTCTAATCGTCGGCATTGAAATTAGAGACATGATATCCTCGGTATTTTTCTTGTCAACTTTCGCTTGTTTCTCTGGAGGCACATGATCATTTAATTCAGACATAGACATTTCTATGCTTTCGGCATTCTCTGTGTCATCAGACTGAGACTGACACGACGATTGGGATTCTGTTACGGACAACACTGTATATCCAAATACTCCATTCTCTGTAACTTCTTTGATCCTAAAAGTGTGCATAAAGTATTTTTTATATTAAATGTATCATATACTAACAAAATGGTATCGCAGGATGTTATGTGAGTCTCACTATACTAACTTAACTATATCTTGTGCAGCCAGTTTCTCCAGAATCTTATGGATATCTGAAGAAGATACATCGGCATTAAGATTTTTACGTAGCTGATCTATTAAGTCTGCAGATGTTATCGGTAGATTAGGTAAGGATTCGTGTAAGATACAAAGTACATCTCTTTCATATTCGCTGTGATCCGAACGTGAAGATGCATTAGAATCTGTGACAGGGACATATTAGTTCCATTAAAGTTGAATAAATTCTTTCTCACCACACATAACAGATGTTAATAGTAATATAATCGTAAAATTATATACTTATTACCAGGACACGCCGACTCTGCTGTCAGAGTGGAAGAAGCCGGCGTGGAAGTGAGGGTATACAATTCATGTCTCTCACGTTTTCTTTTCTGTAGTTTCTCACGATAACTGTTTCTCTTTATCTTAATCGCTTGTATCTCTTCAAAAGCGTCCGACATGGCTCGAGAAGATAGTGCGTAAAAATATAATTTTTGATATACGAAAAAAACGGCTGCAGTCCGAACGTTCCACGCTTAAAAAATCATTTCATCCTTGTTGTTTGTCAAATATTAAACGAAGACAAACGATGCTCATGAACGTGTCAACATGAATTGGACTATGGCCAAAGTAATAATTGAGTTAAGCTACCTTATATCCGGTATTGATAAAATTAGGCTCATTCGATACGTTTTTGTATGAAATGACCGAATCTATGTCCGGTACTGATAAAATTAGGCTCATTCGCTACGTTTTTGGATGAAATGACCGAATCTGATAGAAAAAACTTTCGCTCTGACTCGCGAACCGAGATATTAATCGTTAAAGTTGACGATTATAGGTTAGTAAATCTCTATTATATTGACAAAAACCAGCGACAAAAGCGATACGAGCTCAAGCATGCTTTATGACAACATGCGCATGCGTTGTCACGAAATGCGCACGAAATGATGTTTGAATATGTTTTCTTGGAAATAAAATAATATTTTTAAATAATACTTTTATGTCCATATTCATAGTCGAGCATTATATTTAAGGCTTCCTTTATAATTAGTATGTACACATACTTATTCGTATAAACATACAAATAAATATAGGCTTTGACTATAGAAACCTAGACTGCTAATAAGTACGCTGCATCGTTATATTTTTCATACATGCCGCAAAAATGCTATATATTTGTATGTTTTCATCATATATAGCAAATTTTGAATAACAATTTTTATCGCTGTCGCATAGTTTTTTAAAACTAACTGAGCTTTTGATGGCAATATTTTCGCTTTCATGTATTTGCATTTTCTCAAATTCCTCATTTAATTTGATTGCAGATGACGTGCTTTTCTAAAAAAAAATAAAATAATTTGATGTTGATATCATTGCGTTTAGAATTATTTCATAATTTTCAATTGATTTATTATAAATCTTTTAGATTCAAAAATATTTAATACAAATGTATAATTCTAATAACAATAGATGTATTTTATTAAGAGTGTGAGTGTGGCATAGCAGACAATGCATTGGTCTATCATGCTAGAGATCTCGCCTGTACTGAAAAATAATTTTATAAAAAAAAAAGAAAGATGTACGAGTATACGTATATACCCAGCAAACGATTGAAATGAATTGAAATGGATTCAAATTTTCAAAAATATGATACTGATGTATCACATTATTCTTGTTTAACACTCTGTGCTAAACAAAGATAACATGATACATTCATGTGCATTATGTGTGCAACAGAACGCAGCCTTGTCGACTATTTTAATCGATATATTATTGGATACTAATGATATCCGATTATCTGATCGTATAATAAAAAGTATTAAATAATATTGAATATTCGATACACCCCTATTTCATATTCCAACTATTCGTGATTGTTCGGATATTGTCGGAAATGTTCGGAATGATGATTGTTTTCATCGTTTTTCATTATCCGTCGTTACGCAGTCGAATTTCTTTCAAGAATTTTTTCAGTAACGCGATTTAGGAAGCTTCAATACTGAAAAAAATTGATATTGTGATAAAAAAATTAATGATATTGTACATGCGAGTGTTGAAGAAGTAAATATTAACTTGTAAAGGGATTATAACCTAAAAATTCAACGTACGTATATGATAAGAATATAATAATACAACATAATTATACTTTTGATTAAAAATTATTCATTTTTATATATCCATTTGATGTTTCATTTATTCAATTATTTTCAAACAGGCATTTAGTTTTTCGTTGTTCTAATGAAAAAATACATGTAGGAAAACTGAGCAAGTAAAAATCAATTTAAAAAAGGAAGACAATTTATGTAATCCTTTTTTATATGTAATAATAAAATTCATCTTTATATATTTATTATTCAATATGTAATTATTTTTAGATCATTTGCAATGTTTTTTTTACTTTGATGAAAAGATTTATGATATTGTACAAAAGAGTGCTAAACAAGAAATCTTTTTGAAAAAGGATTATGACTCAAGCTTAAGGTACATACATAACTTTGTTTTTAATGTAAAAATAATTTATCTTTATATACTCATGATACAATACACAATTATTTTCAGGTATTTGTGTAGTTTTATTCTAAATAAGGAATCAATCTTTGTATTTCAACATGGTTTGCGAGAAATGTGAAAAGAAATTAGGCAAAGTTATTACTCCGGATCCCTGGAAAACAGGTGCAAGGAACACAACGGAAAGCGGAGGACGTAAAGTTGGAGAGAATAAAGCTCTTTCTGCAGGAAAGGCACGATTCAATCCATACACCACGAAATTTGAGATCTGTAGAATATGTAGGCAAAAAGTTCATCAGGTGGGATCCCATTATTGTCAGTCCTGTGCATATAAGAAAGCTATATGCTCTATGTGTGGTAAAAAACTCATGAGTACAAAGAATTATAAGCAGTCTGCTACATAATAATTTTGTATTTAAAGAATTAATTTCAATGTAAAGTTTAATATTTAAATTTATATTCACATATCTGTTATCCATATTAAAATTACATATTTTCTGAATTTTTATGTTGCAGTATTCAGACTATTAATGTACAATAGTATCCTTCGCTCTTAGATTATCCAAAAATTTAATCTTCTCCCTTAGTGACATAACGATTCTATCTGTTCGCTTGTGCCTTTCTATATACAACATCTGATACTCTTCATCTCTATCTTCGTTCATTCTCAATTTTTAATTTATTTCTGTTTTTGTTATTTTTTAACGATTATTCCTTTTCTAATTTAATTAGGGATGAAACTATTCAGATGGATTCCTTTATTTTCTAAAGCATCTTGATAATGTTGTTTAATTTATGTATAGTTAATTAAGATTCAATATCATATAATGTGATAGATTTTTTGATAAATTATAGCGGATTTATTTGTATCTTCTTTTTGTTTATCCTGAGTAGTGTTGACATTCCACAAATAACAAAGGAAATTCTCTTTATATAAATGTATTTAAATAATGTATTATTAAATAAATGTATTTAATTTTTTATACGATAGTTTATATATAACATAAATAATTACTATAAAAGAAAAAAATAATTAAGAACAGTGTGCACATAAAAAATTG